GCTAGGAAACTCCTAAAGGGTCGTTCTTATTAAGACATAAGGTAGTCGCTATAGCGTATATATTTTTAGCTTCTATACCTAAATACTAGCTTAAAGGCTATATACCCCGCTATAAGGTAGTACGGCGCCTTAATACTTTAGCGTTATACGTGGGTATTTATATCGAATATTAGTCGCGTTATATCTAACCTAACCGACGAACTTATATCGCGATTAGTTACTTTACCCCTAATCTTATATCGGGAATAATAAGCCTTCTCTATCTTATTAAAAGCTAGCAGAACCTCGAAAAACAAGCTAGTATAAGTATAGTAAGTCTCTTTAGAGAATATAATCTCGTTAGGTAACGTAGTACGAATAATCTCTATAGTAGTAATATACGGCTCTCTATTAGAGTTTAGTATTATATACTAGAGTTAGCGAAAAGAAACTAGGAAGTTATCGCACTCTTAGCGATTACCCTCTATAAGGTCTACCGGCTAGGATTATTAGCGGAGACCTAACTAAATTATAGAGGAAGACTTACTTAATCGTAGGTCTTATACTTACGGTTATATATAATATAGCGTAAACCTAAAAGTACGTAATCGATAAAAAGCGTAATAATATCCTATTCCTCTATAGAAGCCTTAGTAATAAGCTTTAGTATATAAACCACTAAACGATAGTAAGGTATATACTATAGGTAAGGTTCTTTATCGCTACTATAATTATTATTATTAAACTACTTATCTATAGACGCCTTATATTCTAGCTAATTATTAAAACTAGGCCGCTATAATAAGAACTAGTCGTTAGTGGGAGGCTACGCTTTATACTCGCTTAGCTTAGAAGATAGGGCGAACTCGCTATCGTAGAGGCTCGAAAATAACTAACTAAGCTTATCACCCCTAGGGCCTTTATTTATTATTCCTTTATCCCTATCTAAAGCTAGAGGAGTAATAGAGCTAGCGTTAACCTAGGGAGACGATAGCGTAGTAGTCCGAGCACCCGCGAAAAGCCGCTAGGTAGTAGGCCAAGCTTTACCCTATCTTATATAACGAAGATCTCGCTTTATAGAAAACTCGCTATCGCGAGATAGGGATTTATATCGCCGAGCGATCACCCTAGCGAGTATAAGAGGGCGAGGAAATTACGTAGCGATACTATCGTAAAGAGGCTACGTAAGTAAGGTATCGTTATCGTAAGTATCTTAGGACACGGATAAGGCGCGAATACGACCTTTAGGATCTATAGGAATAAGAGGGCTAGTAAGGAAAATCTTTACTTAAGGTATAATAAGGGGTTATATCTTATTCGTCTCTGAACTAATAGGTAATAATAGTATATCCTCTATTAATATATTAGCGGAAGGGTCGCGTACCTAAGTTAATAGCGCGCCCTAACGATTAAAAAAGCGACGAGTAGTCGCGTCGGTAGCTAATCTAGCCCTAGCTATAGAACGTCCTACTTAAGGAGCTTTTATAGACCGAGACTCGAATCGACTATAACGAGATACCGAACTACTAATATTACGGTAAGAACGAGTAGAAGGAGAGGCCTAAGATTATATAGGGCCTTTAATAGGAGTCTTAGGAGGCGCTATAATAAATAAAGTTATAAAGAAGCAAGAGGTTAAAATCTAACGAAGGCTCTCGAGTATCTAAGATACCGTTAAGGATATAGGAGTTAAGGGAGAAGCGAGAGTGAATCGTGCCCGTGATAGTATCGATTTACCCCCGAATCCTACCTTACTATAAGACTTTTCGAAAACCAAGAGGCGGGGTAGCTAGTTACCCCGTAACCTTATAGCTTATTAAATCGCCCCGCCGTACGATAGATTTATTACAAGCGAGTCTAAGCGTCGAGGACGACGCCTTAGAGGAGAGGGGATAATTATAACACCGTGGCCGAAGGAAGTTAGCGGTATAGTTACAAGGAATCACGGAGGCCTCGGATACTATAGCGTACCGCTATGTTAGTATTAATAATACGTACCCGACTTATTAATATTATACCTAACCTCCGGATCTTCTGAGCGCTTTAGGTATAATATACTTACTTCTACTTATAGAGGAAGAAATAAGTTTGAGTTTTATGAATATACTACCTATACCTTCTCTCCCTACCTAATCTATCCTACTATTGTTACAGACTATCTAGTCCTTCTTTTACCTTCTCGACCTCTTAACGATCTAAGCTATCCGACTAGAGAACCGATATAGTACCGACGAACACGGGATCCTCGAAGGCTAAGGAAGCAACGGGCTAGTCCTTAGCTCTATAGCTAGCTAGATAGCCTTTAAAAAGCAGCCTAGAATACATTATTAGACTATAATAATCAAATATATCTTAGCGACTAGCCGGGCGCTACCTCTAGTAGTTATCTTTAAAAGTAAGAGCGTATAAGCCTAATAGTTTAATAAGGAGCTTAGTCTAAAAGACTAGTACTTCTTAGCATTAACTAAGGGCTAGACCTCTAATAGCCTTACGCTATATTAGCTTAAAGAGGTCTTTATCCCTCGAATATAGCCGTCTTAGCTAAAGGCTAGGCTACTCGTTATTAATAGGCACGGGAGCTATATAACTAATAACTCTGTATATATATATTATTTAAATAATATCTACGTACTCGTCTTACCGCCATATATATCGTATATCTTATAACCCCTTAACCTAGCTGTCTTTAGCCCCCTAAAGACGATCTATCGGTCTAAGATCTCAAGGATTAGTATCTTATCAGATATAACGCCTCTCGGTAAGGTAGTCTTCCTCGCTATATATAAAAAGGCCCGTAGTAGGGCCCTAACGATCAAGAATATCACAGCTAGCTAGAAAGTAATAAGGCTATAGCTAATTAATCGTAATAAGCCTCTTATAAGTCGGCTACTAGTCTAACCTCTCGATTCAATAGGAACAATAGCTATAGCGCCACTAACAGCTTCTACCTATATTTAAAAGGAGCCTAAGGAGCTCTTTTAAACACCTCGTTATTTAGGATAGCTTTCTAGGCTAGCTCGACCCTTCCTTTCCCCTTTAATAGACCGTACGATACGCCGGCTATTATTCCGGAAGATTAGCCGTAGTATTAACGGGTAGAACACTAAGCTAGCCGAGGCCGAGGCTACGATATAATCCCTTAAGCATTAGATTAATAATCTACGGCCTAAAAAAAGAGCCAAAGTCACCTATAGCCCTAATAGCCGGTTCGTACGGATTAAATAGATTATCGAGACTAAAAAGCGGCTTATATAGTAACTTAAGCCAGCCGGGCTTTCCTAATTAACTTAACCAAATGATTTTAATTCCCTATGTCATGAGTGGCAGCTTAACTAGCTAAAAATCCCCTAATAATATGATCGCGATGCTATTGTGTTGAGTTTGACGCCTTCAACGGGCTTGTGTTATGCTGTATTGGGTGGTCAAGGTCTAGGAGTGGTCAAGGACTGGGGGTGTTATCTTATACGAATAGGCTAATAAGGCTAGTGATCTCGAGCGTGGTTTTATCGGCGGCCTTAAGTATAAATACTAAGACCCTCATTATAAGATCGTAATATAGTATTATTAAAAGCTTCGAAATCGATCATTTAATAAGGTTTTTTATAATTTCCTTTATTAACTTAATTAAAGGTTAAGTACGGGGAAGATTTATACTAAAATGTAGTGCACGAACTCTCTATACCTAACTAACCCTGATCTTTTAGTAGCTTAGTAGGATATTACTTCTGAAAGCGAGCTCCGTAGATAGGCTGTTAACACTTTCTATCGCACTATATACCTTCCAGATACTTGTCTTCTTAAGAAGCTACATAAGGATTCTCGCCGTCTCTGTTCAAAGCTTTTATATGAATCCGGCAAGATGTCCACCGCAGAAGGTATCGCATCGAAACTTGTGGAGATCTCTGCGCTTCTTACTCTGTACTGTGGGGGGTAAATGCGCAGATGAAGGAGTGGTATGATGAGTACAAAAAGCTTCAGGCGGAACTCCAAGCGGCCAAGGCGACGTAGATTACAGCGCCGAAACCACCTACAGACTACAGAGCCATGGTTGACTCGGTGATACTTAATGTAAGCTCAAGGCTACCAGCCGAAAGGCCTATCAGAAGTCGACATACGACAAGCTATCAACGGCCTACGACGTGCGAGACGCGCTGAGTGTTGAACTTCAGCATCTTGGAGCGCAGTATAACGCAGTTGGGGCCGAGCCCGAATTCAGCAGTGACGAGAGCAAGAACTCCAGGTGTTCAGGGAGAAGCGGCGCGGGAAGAAGCGATCCGGCCATGGTCGGCTGGGATTGCGACGAATGTGGAGGATCCAACTTCAAGGACCCTCCAGGTCCAGACAACATGTGCGCTTACCATCTCCAGTTTTGCGACAATAGGGACCATTGTTCGGTCCAGTGGGACCCCTAAGCCCCCTATCACAATCGGAATGGCCTTGGGGCTAGTTTGCAGATTGCCTGGGTAATTATTTTGTGTTCGCCGCACATATCAAATAGTTCAAGATGCGAGTCCGGTCATAGAATCAGTGCATCGTGAGGCGGCAATTATGGCGATCCGAAAGATTCAACCACATCCCAGATTCGTTGTGCTAGGAGAGTATTAGTCCGGGATCTCGACTGCTGTCACATTATCGTTGCTACCATGCCGAAACTAGCTAATCCTGTTCTCATTCTAGTTAATTCCGCAGCACTAGATTTTCTGAAATCAGCCTGGTACTGGGCTTCGAGGCTATTGACAGTCCTGTCGGCCTCATTGAGTTTCTCCGTGATCCTTCTACGCTCTTAGGCGTTTCGATTCAACTTGTCTGTCTTGCTCTCTTTCTGAGCCTCGCTCTTCTCGTGGCTCTGAAGCATGGCTGCAACTTGGCGGTACAGCAGGGCGGCAGACTGATCAGGCTATGTTCTTCGTTCGCAAGTACCAATCAGAAGATCACGCGTTTCAAGACCTTCACTGAAGCTCATTTGTTTATTTGGTCAAACTCATTGTATAGCGCAGAAGGATAAGGTAAGTAATATACACCTAAAGCTTATTCAGGATATCCTCTACGACCTGCTCAGTAGTCGCGGTCCCCCCCAAGTCCGGGGTCACCAGAACTCCGGCTTCAAGATTTGCATCAACAGCTGCGTATATTTTAGCAGCAGCCGCAGGCTCCTCCAAGAATTCCAGCATCAGTGCGACACTTCGTAATGTTGCAATGGGATTAGCAATGCCCTTCCCCATGATATCGGGAGCACTTCCGTGGCACGGCTCGCCGATGGCGAATCCCTCACCAACATTGGCACTAGGTACTAGACCCAAGCTACCCACGAGAGCGGCTGCACCGTCAGACAAGATATCACCGTAGAGATTCGGCGCTACGATAACGTCGTAATCTTCAGGTTGGCGGAATAGCTTGTAGACCATGGAATCCACAATCTGCTCCTCGACTGTTACACCATTGAATCTCGCCGCAGACAGAGCGCTCTTAGATGCGGCACGGAATAGGCCATCCGTCTGTGACAGTACGTTCGACTTGTGTGTCACAGTCACCAAAGGAGACTTATGGATGCTGGAGGCACCATCTTCGCGAAGTCTTTGCCGGCGCACAGCAATATCGCCGGCCATTGTCGCGATTCGGAAAGATGCACGCTCGGAAATGCGCTTGATGGCCTCTGCGACCTTCCCATCAGGACCGCTGTATGTCTTTTCTTCCTTCACATACAAGTCCTCCGTGTTTTCTCGCACGATAACCATGTCGATTGGTTTCACGGCTGTCATAACCGACTTGACGGGACGTACATTCGCGTATAGATCGAGCTTTTTGCGGAGGGCAACAATCGGGGACGAATATCCTTTGACAGCTTGAGTGGGCGAGCTCACAGCGCCAAAAAGAGCACCATCGCACTCTGCCTTTAGAATATCCACCGTCTTTTCTGGCAATGCGGCACCCGTTTGCTCGAAAGCCTCGAATCCAGCTTTCAGGTCTACAAACTCGAACTTGAGCTTGAGGTACGCTGGTAGAGCCTCAAGCACCCGGCGGCCGGCAGGAATGACCTCCTTCCCAATGCCATCTCCGGGAATTAATCCTAAACAATACTTTGTGAGCCTGACACCGTCATATCTATGAGAACATTGCAGTCTCGTAAGGAGGATTTCACATACCAATGCGAAGCGTGCGTACCGACATCATGAACTTTTGCTTGGTTTGTTACGAGGCCGATAACCGGAGACAAAATGTCGAAGAAATGAGAATATGGTTAGAAAAGGAAACGTTGGGGTGATTAGTTAGCGGGTCACGGCACGTGGTGACAGACTAGGTAGAGTGAAGGTAGCCTCAAGGACCTATAAGGTGGTCGGTGCCTCTGTACCTTACCTAGCCCGCGTTACCTCACCTTGGTACAGGTACCTTACGATGGAGTTAGTTTCGACACTGCTACTGGAACGTGCAGAGGTCTTGCCCCACTATACCTCAGCACCAGCTTGGGCAATTGACCTATATCTGGCAACCGCATACGTTCGTCCAGTCTAAGGACACCTCAGCCTCAAGGTCCATCAACTTTCAAAGAGCTGTGCGCACGATAGCTCTTACCAGGGCCAACGGAAACCACACAGGCGAAATTTTGGATCTCCAACGGCAATAATGGATTACGAAGCTCTCAAAGAGCAATGGAGCGAGATGGAGGATCGAGATGGCGCTCGTCTGAGCTGGAACGTCTTTCCAAGCTCTCGCATGGTATGGACAGCGGCCAGAGTCCAGATTGGACTAAGCTGAAACTTTTGTAGGAAGCATCACGACTTGTCGCGCCCATAGGCGTCTTGTACACGCCTCTGAAGGAGAAGCTTGACACCCCTCTGCTTCAATTTGAGCCGGTTACCTGCAAGCAGCCTTGCCGAGCTGTCTTGAACCCTTTCTGGCAAGTATTAAAGCGACAGCAACCCGAACCGTTACTGATGATTTCAGTCAAGTTGACACCCGGGCCCGTGTGTGGATATGTCCCTTCTGTCTCTCACGCAACCAGCTGCCGCCCCATTACAAAGACATCACGAACAATGCGATTCCCCCAGAACTTCACCCAGCCAATTCTACGATCGAATATCGTCTCTCAAGACCGGCCCCTGCGCCTCCCATTTTTCTCTATGTGGTTGATATGTGTCAAGAGGATGACAGCCTGGCGTCCCTCAAAGAATCGCTCGTCATGAGCTTGAGCCTCCTTCCGGAGAATGCACTCGTGGGGCTAATTACATATGGAACAATGGTAGGGGCTTCTGCCATGACTTAGGATCTGCATGGGACTGATATCGACAGGCACATGTTCACGAGATCGGATACGACGAATGCGCTAAGTCGTACGTTTTTCGGGGTAGCAAAGACTACTCTGCCAAACAGGTTCAGGATATGTTGGGATTGTCTTCAGCTGCAATGCGTCCAGGCCTGCAGGCTCAGCCGGGCAGGCCTATGCCCATGGGTCCTGCTTCAAGGTTCTTGATGCCAGTACAGCAGGCCGAATTTCAGTTGACAAAGGCTCTCGAGGCCCTTCAAAAGGATCCCTGGCCCGTTGCCAATGACCGGCGAAACCTTCGATGCACAGGTGTGGCTCTGAGTGTGGCTGTGGGTCTCCTAGAATCATCCTTCCAGAATGCTGGAGCCCGTATAATGCTTTTCGCTGGTGGGCCTGCCACCGAGGGCCCCGGTATGGTTGTAGGACCTGAGCTTCGTGAGCCGATCAGGTCGCACCATGACATCGATCGTGACAACATCAAGTATTTCAAGAAGGCTTTGAAGGTTGGTTTTGTTGCCCGCTCCACGTGTTCTCAAGCTTACCATACGCCACCTAGTTCTATGACAACTTGGCAAAGAGGACTGCCCACAATGGTCATGTAATTGATATTTTCGCTGGCTGCCTTGACCAAGTCGGCCTTCTAGAGATGAAAGGCCTCTGCAACTCGACGGGCGGACACATGATCTTGACTGACAGCTTCACCTCGTCCATGTTCAAGCAGTCTTTCGTCCGCATATTCGAGAAGGATGGCGATGAGAACCTCCTCATGGGATTCAATGCGGTCCTTGAAGTCCTCACCACGAAGGAGCTCAAGGTGACCGGGCTGATTGGGCACGCCGTTTCGCTCAACAAAAAATCAGTGTCTGTCGGCGAAACAGAATGTGGCATCGGAAACACTTGTTCGTGGAAGATGTGCGGCATCGATCCCCAGGCAAGCTATGGCATCTACTTCGAGATTGCGAGTCAAGGGGCCCCCGCTCACCAACAAGCGCCACAGCAAGGCATTATGCAATTCTTGACGTACTACCAACACTCGTCTGGCCAATTCCATCTACGAGTCACTACGATTGCTCGCAATCTCAGTGGGCCAGCTGGCGATCCGGCCGTTGCACAATCATTTGACCAGGAAGCTGCTGCAGTCCTTATGTCCAGGATCGCCGTTTTCAAGGCGGAAGTCGACGACGGCCCAGACGTCCTACGTTGGGTTGATCGTATGCTCATAAGGTTGTGTTCGAGGTTCGCAGACTACAGAAAAGATGACCCCTCGTCTTTCCGTTTGGAGAAGAACTTCACGCTTTATCCTCAGTTTATGTTTCACTTGAGACGGAGCCAGTTCCTTCAGGTGTTCAACAACTCCCCGGATGAGACAGCATTCTACCGGCATGTACTGAACCATGAAGACGTGGCGAATTCTCTCGTTATGATCCAGCCCACCCTCGACTCCTATACTTTTGACCAGGACGGGGGCCAGCCCGTTCTGCTAGATTCGGCGTCCATTCAGCCGACGCACATCTTGCTGCTCGATACGTTTTTCCATATCCTGATATTCCATGGCGAGACTGTTGCGGAGTGGCGCAAAGCTGGCTATCAGGAACAGGAGGGTTACGAGAATTTCGCCGCTTTGTTGGAACAGCCAAAGGAAGATGCTCGAGTAAGTTGCTTTGCAGACATCCGCTGTGTGAAAACCCTTCTCATGAATCACAGGACTTGATCACCGACCGTTTTCCACTTCCCCGCTTCATTGTTTGCGATGCAGGCGGGTCACAGGCCCGTTTCTTGTTGTCGAAGCTGAACCCATCGACAACTCACACTACGGGAGCGTATGGGGGAGTTGGCGCCACAACCGCGCAGACAATTTTCACCGATGATGTTTCGTTGCAGACATTCATGGAACACTTGATGAAGTAGGTTGATTGCTCCGCTGACAATACTGCGCTGACAATTTCTAGACTTGCTGTTAGTGGCACTACTTAGTGCTGATATTCAACTTGCACCTGTGATTCAATACGGGAGCGCCGCCACGATGCTCACCACGTTAAGCATGCTGTGAATATACACACTGGATCTCAATGTTGATTGCGGGAGAGGAGACAATTCTTTTCCCGTAGTCAAATAATAGATTCGTACAACGTGGGCCAGAGAAATCAGCCAAACAATTCAAAGGCCAGTGATGGACAAGGATCCTAGACAACCCTGGATGAAGCTACGGCATTTTTATGGTTATTCTGATGGCATGTGTATCAATGACTGGCTGCTTCGTGGAACCACTCGCCATTGGGAATACATATGTATTACAGACAGAAGTGAATTCTTTTCTCGCATGTATTTCCTGAAAAGCTCCCGTAGGCGTCAAACTGAGAGCAGACGTGTTTATCGACTGTGACCCACTTTAGCAGGCCCAGCCACTCACGATCCTTACCCCAGCATGCAGGATGGGCGCACGAGCCACTGCTCGTTAGGGCACACACGATTCGGGTCATTTTTCCCAATTTGTGCTTTCGAACTTTTTACCAATCCAAACTTTTCTACAACCTCATCTCATCCCGACCTTCATTGTTCGGCAAGCTAACCTCGAGCCTCTGTCGATATCACGATTATTTCATCATGCGTACGTTTGCAAAAGATTACTCTATCAACTACATGCTGACGCCGCATAGCTCCTAAGTTCGATCCCAATGAGGTGAAGGTCATGTACGTTTGCTGCTGCAATGGCTATCAGCGATTCGCACTGACCATGGATCTCTCACAGTCACCTTCGCGCCACTGGTGGTGAAGTCGGTGCTTCCTCTGCACTTGCTCCCAAGATCGGTCCTCTGGGTCTGTCACCCAAGAAGGTCGGAGAAGACATTGCCAAGGCCACCGGCGACTGGGTACGTTCCGCAAAATGGTGTTTGGTGACTGCCACTGATGTCGCTCCAGAAAGGTCTCCGTGTCACCGTGAAGCTCACGATTCAGAACCGCCAGGCTGCTGTGTCTGTTGTGCCCACCGCTTCATCCTTGATCATCAAGGCACTGAAGGAGCCCCCTCGCGATCGCAAGAAGGAGAAGAACGTCAAGCACACCAAGTCTGTTCCTCTCGATGAGGTCATTGCTATCGCTCGTACGATGCGCTACAAGTCTTTCGCCAAGGAACTCAGTGGCACCGTAAAGGAGGTCCTGGGTACTGCCCGCAGCGTTGGCTGCCAGGTCGATGGCAAGTCTCCCCAGACTATCATCGAGGGTATTGACAGCGGAGACATTGAGAGTAAGTCCTGGCGTCAACCACTCTGAAACCCGACTAACAATGTCAAAAGTTCCCGACGAATAAGTTAGCTACCAGGCACTACAATGATGACGTAAAGCTCATGATGAATGCATCAGTTACCAGTCGACGATGGTAGCACGAGATTGTGATACCAGCTCTTCTCAGTGTACTATTTCCTCGCCTTGTGCACAACAACAATCGTGACTACCCCCGAGTGGAATGCTCACCTTGACTCACTCTGAACCAACCTGATTGCCCTGTGGTTGAATTCAATTTTTGTCCAAGGAAGATTGACATGACCCCATACTCACCGCCACATCTAGAATTATATCATATGGATGTGTTGGTCCATTGGCGCGGTCAACATTTCACACTATCTTGAGGTTGTGTCCTGCGGTAACAGTTGCCGTTGGCCAGACACCATTTAAAAGTGCTTGGTCGCACGTTGGCACTTCTCGTATCGACATATATGTGCACCTAATGAGATGTATGCTTAGTTAGTGTCAAGAGCAAATGGAGTGGCTACATCAGAGAAGAGCTATCGCAAGGCTGGGCAGCTATTCGCGCTGATACGTGCACAGTACCTGGTAATAGCAGACTATTTAAGTAAGTCAAGCATGTATGCACTATAATCGTCAAAATTGCACAATTGGTCGAGACGAGAGCATCGGGGCAAAAGATGTCCCTCAAACGTCAAACCGGAACGGCTATAAACATTTATCCTGGTTCCTTTCCAGCATGGGGTGATTCCAGTATCTTCTTCATCTCATCGTTGACACGTTGGCCTTGAGAATCCATCATGGTGTTGGCGAACTGCCGCCCCTGCTTGGTTGAGATTCTCGGGTAGGTACGTCCTTGCATCCCACCTCAGAAGCGGACTTGGGTGCCACGGGTCAAACATGCTTGGCTCAAGATACCACGTACGCCCAGGCGCATTGGCTACGGCCACCAGTATCGCCTTTGTCGCGTGCACTGCCTTATAAATCCTTCCTTCTGCCCTAAAGCAATATATTGACCTCAGAGCGCGATCCTGCCACCGCCTCGGAGTATTAGCAATATTAGGAACGAAGCGCGCCAGATCATTTATCAGCAAGCGCCATCTCCTCGCGTTGAAGTCGATACCGCACAGCATTGGTCCATCGCTCGCCAATGCCTCCAAGCTCTAACGCGTTGCGACAGGATCGCATGCGTGCACCGCTTGCCTTCGACGCAGAGTGATCTGGTCGTTGAGCAGCAGCGGCAAAAGCTGTCTATCTTGTTCGAAAGTCACGTCCAAGCCATGTCGCAACAAAGACGCCAGAACGAAGGCTCTCGACAACGCTCCTCAACCAGGCGTGCTGAGCACCGTTCGAGTCTCGATCAGCCCCTCTCTGGATTCTCACGGGCATCGCCCCTCCGACAGATACGGATGGGCCAACGCGATATGGCTCCTGGGTTCTCCCCGTACCGGCGAATCGAAGGACAATGGCACCGGTCCAGAGTCTATGCCACATCAGGGAACACGCTCACGCCCGAAGACCATGCATCGTTTGGACTTCTCAAGCCACCAGAGGGCAAAACAGATCGGTTGGATGGCGCCAGGTCTTCATACCACTTGGGAAATTGGATCTCGGAAAATAGCGGACAGCTGTCGACGCCAGTGTTGGCATGGAGTTCAAATGGCCAACATGCAAACCATGCACCGCATCAAATTGAACATAACGGATCGTCATTGTGGCACTACTCTACATCAATGCAGTTGAGATGCAGCTTTGAAGATTTATCCCCACCAAACTTCCGATTCAACGGCAACAATGTACGTGCCTTTTGTCCCCCACCTATGCCTTCGGCGGACGATATGTCGCCGGGGCAAGGCTGGCAGACCGACCGGCCAACCTGGAACTATCGTGCAACTGGACTATATGCTAGTCAGGGCGGTCGCGCAGCTGGACCAGACGTTGTCAGTTCGCCACACGTCGACTTTGACACACCTGCATCTGCTTTCGCAGGCTCGCAGTTTTCTTCAGCGTACGTGCAACCCAATATGCCTGCCAACGCACTGGCTTCAGGATACAGTCCGGCGTTCCGTGAGAAGACGCTCTCTGAAGCACACCAGCTCTATGTCGATTTATTGACGGATGCTGCGGTGAGACGAGCCAATTTGGCAAAACGGGAGAATCGTAAGCCCGGAACTCATCGAGGCTTCGTCTATCCCAAGCCCCCCAACCCCATTGGGCTGAGAGTGAATGGGGTCCTTGAGAAAGAGTGCCCCCACGGTGGACGACGGAATGCCTCCGAGGCGTTGCTAAAGACTGGCCAGCTCTATAACTGCCCACAGCCCCTGGCGCCAGGTTGTAACTTCATCCCACGGTCGTCATTCGAAAGCACACCTCAATCTGCAGCAAAGTCTAGCCTTGAGATACTCAGCGCGTTATGTGAACAAAGCAATTGGCAATGGCAAGAGGGATTGCTGATGGGTGGATGCCTTCATTATGGCCTCGGTAATTTCGAGGATGCATTACGGTGGTATTCGCATATCCTCATGACCAACCCCCGGTGAATAACCTGGTAGCTAAAATTCTTTGCCTTTGCTGATTCATTTCTAGTCATGTTGTGGCAATAACCAATGCTGCGGCGGCGCTATATCGTTTGGAGCGATACGACGAAGCCGGGCAATATTGGTCAAGGTCCATGACGCTGTGTCCCGAGTATCTGGAAGCTACAGAGCACCTCGTTGGGTTGTTTTACAGGAAACGCAGCAGAGAAGCCATTGAAGCCATCGCGTATGTTCAGCAGTCGCTGAAGCGTGGACGCGGAAGACCATTTTCCTGGACTGCACCCGTAAGAAAACAAACAAGCTCGACATCCCTCCCACACACATTGACCATTTTAGGGGAACAGTCTGTTAGAAGCCGGTTATGGTGGTTACGGCTCAAGCGGATACGCTATACCGGGCAGCGAAAATGGCAGGATGCTAGCCTTGCTACATGCCAAAGGCACTATGCTCTATGGCATGCAGGAAATCGGTCGAGCAGCAGAGGCCTTTGAAGAAGCTGTGCTTATTAGCACTGGGCAGCGCGCAAGTAATGTGCAAGAACTTGTTCGGCGCATACAACAAGTCTTGTCACCGCCAGGGAAGCATGGTCAACCATCCACTGGTCAACCACCGCCGCTTTTATTGGGACCAGCCGAAGCTCGAAAAACAGCACAAATCCTTTTCGGCGGCCGGGGTGAGCTTCCTGGGCTTGCCTATGTCATCGATGAAGGATCCAGATGGGCCGCGAGCCAGACCACGAGTAATTCGCTCTTATCTCTGGCTAAGATCTTCCAGGATTCCATGGCGAACGACACACAGAGGAAAAGCCCCGACTCGCGTCTCTTCAGCGTGGGCGATATTCTGTCTTTGTACTACCTGTCGCTGTCGCTGCAGGAGAGTCCCTCTACAGCAAACAACGTTGGCATACTGCTAGCTGGTGTGCAGAGCTCAGGATGGCGCCACCAGTATTCACAAGATGCTGAAGAAACAGCGAAATCGACGAAGATACCCGGTATTCTACCAGGGAGTGGGCTTGCGCTTGCTTTAGCGTACTATCAGTACGGTCTGCGTCTCGACCCGAAACATGTTCACTTGCACACCAATCTTGGCAGTCTTCTCAAAGACATCGGCCAGCTTGACTTGGCGATACAAATGTACCAGCAAGCAGTCGCTTGTGATGGGAATTTCGATATTGCGCTGACAAACCTCGCCAACGCTGTCAAAGATCGAGGGCGCATTAAGGATGCCATTGCGTACTACAGAAGGGCGGTCCAGGCGAATCCGAACTTCTCCGAGGCCGTCTGTGGGCTCCTCACAGCACTAAACTCGGTCTGCGACTGGAAAGGGCGCGGCGGTGTCTTTCTCGACTTCGGCCGATTTGATCGATGGCATGTAGACGACACGGGAGCTCTGGTGGACGCCAGAACTCGAAGTCGGGGCAGTGGGGTGACTCAACGTGTGGCCACCATTGTGGCTCATCAGCTTGAAGAGGCATCTCACTGGGGCAAACATACACTCCGCGAGGACCTGATTTGGTCAATGTCGAGGTACCTCGCGCGACTCTGTCAAAACCAGGGCGAACAACTTGCAGCCTGGCTGCGAGCCTGGAAAGGTCAGTCTTGGGAGGGTTGTCGCCTGGTCCGCCTCGCGGAGCGCGCCACCCGTGTTGCTGTCCGTAACGACTATCTGGCACATCTCGAGTTCGGTACATCGCCACCAGCCGACCTGCGTATGCAGTTGCCGTCGGGGCTGACTGTGCCGTCAGCGCCGACAATACTTCCGTTCCATACATTCACGTGTCCGCTAAGTGCAAAGGACGTGCGAGCGATATCTCAGCGAAACGCACATCGTATCAGCTGTTTAACATTGAAGTCATCTTGGCTCCCAGCTTCTCTGCCAAGGCCGCCGACACCGCCAGCACAGCACCTAAATGTTGGCTATATCTCCTCAGATTTCAACAACCATCCTCTGGCACATTTGATGCAGTCCGTGTTCGGGTTTCACGATACGCGGCGTGTGCGCGCATACTGCTATGCGACAAGCCCCAGCGACAAATCGTTGTATCGGCAGAAAATTGAAAAGGAGGCACCTGTCTTCCGTGACGTGTGTGATTGGGCTTCTGCTTCTGTTGTCCATCAGATCCTGGAAGATAACATACACATACTCGTGAACCTGAATGGGTACACGAGGGGTGCGCGCAACGATATTTTCGCCGCTAGGCCAGCTCCAATTCAGATGTCATTCATGGGGTTCGCAGGGACTCTCGGCGCTGAATGGTGCGACTACATTTTAGCGGATCATATCACTGTACCTCCTGGCACACTTCGGCCTTGGAGAAACAACGTGAGCATCGACGACCTGTTCCAAGATAAAAATGAAGGAGATGACGGCGATTGGGTGTACTCGGAGAATGTCATCTACTGCAAGGAAACTTTCTTTTGCTGCGACCATGCGCAGTCAAGCGAGCCGGGTGAGCGCCAAGTTTCATGGGCCACAGAGCAAGAGCGCAGGTGGCAGATGCGCAAATCATTGTTCCCATCTCTGCCCG